ACACACACACACACACACTGTATTGACATTCAGTCTCTGTTATTCAGGCAAGTCAAAACCTCCCTCCCTTGGGTTTCTGAGGCTTTACACTGCCTGGGACGAGACTAACCCCTCTTTCTCCCTCAGAGTCTCTGGTGGATTCAAACTGCCAGAGAAACAAGGGTTAGCAGCACAACTCCCTAAAGATGAGGCCACCAGAGCTCCATGTACCATTAAGTCAGAATCAACTCACAGCTGACCACCCAGCCAGTTATCAGAGACAGTAAATCGCAGAAGAATTGACTGCTCATCTTTCACCCACTGAGCAGCCGGGAGATATGAACCACATCTCCTCAAGTTGGCAGTGCTATTCCTTACCACTAGGCCACCAGCACTCCCTTTAGGATTTTATTTCCTAGGCTTCCCCTTCATCCAAGCAATACAGCTCTTTGAAAGCCCAAGAATAGGGTTGAGAAAAGCAGAAATCCTTTTCTGTTTCTCCTCCTGCTTGAGCCTAAGGCTTAATTCCTGTTTCCCTTTGTTTTTGTTATTGTTAGGTGCCATCAAATCGATCCTATGAATAAGATTTCCCCTTCTTCTTTTGTTGATAAGGTGCCATCGAGTATGACTCACAGCAACCCTCTGAACTGCCAATCTGAACCCTGCCCTATCCTGTGATATCTTCATCATCTCACACTTGACAGACATACTCTATGGACACACTCAAGCCCACTGCTGAAGTTGTTGTGTCAATCCATCTTGTTGGAGGCCTTCTTCTTCTTCGCTGACCCTCCATCTTCCCAAGCATGATGCTGCTTTCTAAGGAATAGCCTCGCCTAACTACATGTCCAAATATGAAAGATGAAGCTTCACCATCTTTGTCTCCAAGGGGCACTCTGGCTGCACATTCTCCAAGACACATCTATTTGTTCTTTTGGCAGGCCATGGGATATTCAGCACTCTTCTCCAGCACAACTCAAAAACATCAATTCTTCTTCTGGCATCCTTAGTCACTGTCCAACTCTCTGATGAGTAGCAGGTGACTGAAAAATCTCTGGCCTGAATCAGGTATACCTTAGTCTTCAAACTGACATCATTCCTCTTCAGCATTTTAGAGAGGTTTCTGACAGCAGACTTGCCCTATCTACTAAGTTTCCTGATTTTATTTTTTTAGTTTCTTGATTGCTGGTATCAGGGCTGCAGATTGCTGATCCAAGCAAGTTGATATCATTGACAACTTCAAACCTTCTCCACTACCATCATGCTGATTGTTGGTCCTGTGGTGTTTTCTTAATGTTGAGATGTAGTCCATACTGAAGGCTATAGTCCTCAATGTTCTGCAGCAAGGGTTTCATAGCCTCACTTCAACAAGCAAAGTTATGTTACCTGCATAATTCAGGTTGTTGATGAGTCTTTCTCCAATCCAGATGACACAGTCTTCTTCATAGAGTCCAGCTTGATTATTTACTCAGCAAATAGACTGATCAGGTATAAATAAATGACACAATCCTGACACACATACTTCCTGATTTTAGATCATGCAATGTTCCC